CCCCAAAACAGCTACAACGGGCTTCGATTAAGATTGTAATAATAATATTAATGATGATAATAATAATAGCGGTTGTTTTTTGTAAATGGTATTTTAAAAGTTATTTTTGTATACGCGGTTGTTTGTTGTCCACTGCTCCCCTCCTCTCTTCTCACACTCCCCTCCTTCTTTTTTACCCATTTCTTTTATCTCTCTCAGCTCTTTGGATGTAGAACATGCATCAGAGATGGATCTCTCACTCTGAACAAGGAGCAGCTCATTATTTTTCTTTCATACTTCCCCTGCTGTGTTCTCTCCTTTATTCCTCTCCCACCCTCGTCTCTGCTTTTTTTACATTTTTAAAAGGATGTCTTTTTCAACACGCCAGAAGATCAGTTAATTGAAATAATGCGACTTGCTTTCAGTGGTTCAAAGTGCCAGTAAGCTGAATTATGAAGTGTTGAGAAAGAAAACCTTTTTAAAAAAACTTTGTTTGTCCACATTTCTCTCTTTTATGCTCCCACCTGACCCCGTCACATGCACATTATCTCAGAAAAGAGCCCACCTGTGCCTTTAAGAGAGAGCCCGCCCTCCCTTTCTCCCCTCTCCTCCAATCATCATTAGCGCTGTGGGTGTGAGCGATTTGATTCGCTGCTGCTTGCTCATCGCCTCCTGTGGGACTCTGTTCAGCCCCACACACACACTTCGTGACCCTCCTTACACACACATAAACACACACAGCCCCAAAATGTTTGTATGTTGCAGAAATCAATCAGTAAAGCTGACCATTAAGTGAAGACTCTTTGGTTTTATTTGTGTGAGATGATGTAACAAAAAATGTGTTGTGTGAGTGGAAATACAGACAGCTTTTATTTACAAGTTTATAAAGCACATTTCAGCAACAAGGTAATAGGAAGTGCTATACACAAACAATTAAATAGTTAGAATAAAGTTAAAAGCAGAGCCAAGTCAATAGAAATCAAACACAAGTTAATTTTGACTAGCATTTAAATATTGTTATTGTATTTATTTAGCTAGTTTTGGTGTGTGTGTGTGTGTGTGTGTGTGTGTGTGTGTGTGTGTGTGTGTGTGTGTGTGTGTGTGTGTGTGTGTGTGTGTGTGTGTGTGTGTGTGTGTGTGTGTGTGTGTGTGTGTGTGTGTAATTCTGCAGAGACAAATGTATACACACACCCCCACAGTGATGCACTGATTAATTAGTCCCAGCAGGTGTTAAAAACACAGGCGCTAACTGTTTTACACAGAGACACTGTAGGCTGCATATTTGTATTCACTTTAAACACAGAGGCACAGCAGGTAGGAAGATACTGGGATTATTTACTTCTGCTCACAGGCTCATTTGAGATTAATTATACAGTTAATTACCATACAATATTTAAGGTATAGGTGCGCAGAGCAGGTTTGTGTCTGTCCTCTCACGCGTTACAGCAATGACATCTACAAAAAACTTGTTGGGGTCCTACAATGCTCATGTTCAGGTTCATATCCTTGTTTAGTGTCTCTGGGACATGTCTCCATGCTTTAATGTTCAAAAAGCTCTTTATTTTTCTCATACTGCCTGTGCTG